CAGCCGCAACTTGAGTGGACAGCAGCCGCCGAATGCTCGACGTCGCCCTTGTAGAGAGTGTGCGTGGATCAGCTAGATGGTGCCAACTGTGAGGATTGCCAATGAGCTGGATAGTTGCCGTCCTCGCGTCTGCGGGCCTCTTCGAGAACATAGATGGGAAGTACGTGCGTGAGAGTTGCTTGGTGATTGCGTTGAGGGCTAGTGATATGTGAATCACGCGTGGTCAGTCGGAAAACTGGCTTGTCTTGCGCAAGTAGGAGCCTTAAGACTGCGTGTGAACGTGTGATGCTGCGTGCTTGGTCAGGGTTGGTGACAGTTGCTTCGGTGCTGGCAATGACCGCAAGCGGAACTTGACTAGGGCTGTGAATACTTGTTTGTGTTGTTGTGTCACATCCGCGGTGTGGTAAAGAGAGCTTGAGAGGTCATGCGTTATGCGTAGGTTGAGTAGCGTGCCAGCTGCAATTGCATGGTGAGCGTGTGAGTGTGGTGCATGTGTCATTTCAGGCGAGGCCAGATCATTGTCAGTGTGCTAGGATAGAGTAGACCAAGCCTGATATAGAGGAGCTCCGCCGTGGAGCCGCGCAATGAGAACACCTTCGTGGTCCTGGTGCAAGCGTGCTTGGATGCAGGTGTGTGCCCCAGCATGATCGAGCAGTTTGAAGCAGCCGGCCACCTCCCCCGACGAGCTCAGAAGTGTTTGGAAAGCCGGGGGTGGGGGAGAAACCTTCCTTGCTGATGCGGAAGCAGTGCTCTTCTTCGTGTTCTGGCAGAACTTTGCCGGCTCAGCCGCGGGCCGCGGAAAGACGAGTGGTCGGCCATAAATCTGGAGAGGCCGTGGAAAGGTCTCGCAAGAAGTTTCGGGGCGACCTGCCACGTCCTCAGCCTTCGGCGGGAGGCTCACTGCAGAAGGCCCTGGAGAGCGCCAAGCCAGAAAATCGTGAGAACACGTTTCGCCGTTACCATGGGCAAACAGTTCTCGGGCATCCCAAGACGCAGGGCTGCGCGCTTTGGAGGCAGTGGCCGCGGCGTGGGGGATCAGCCTCGCGCCCGTCAGCAAGGACGTTGTTCAGAAGATAGCTGCGGCGCTCAAAATGGGAGGTTACAGATCAGTCAGGCAGTACTTTAGCCATCTTCGTCGATTCCATGTAGAGCTAACAAATTCAGAGTTGTCCTCGGAGGCAGAGTTGGAGTTCAAGGACGCGGTTCGTTCAGTGGAGCGTGGCATGGGTGGTGCTGCGCTCAAGGGTTCGTTTGAGCTAGAGAGCCTCTTCCGCAAAGGCAAGGAGTACAGTGCTCTGGAACAGGCCATCATAGTTCTTGGTTCGTGGTTTTCGTTGCGGGGGATTGAGTTGGTAGCCTTGCGCCGTGGTCACCTGTTCTTGGATGAGGGCAAGGAACAAGTCTCGCTTACGCTTTGGGCTTCCAAGACAGATATTGTGGGCAATCTTCTGATGCAGACGCAAAAGTGCTGCTGTGGCGTGCTTCATGTTGGCGCGTACCACACCGCCCTCTCCTTCCTCAAGAGCTTCAAAGGAAATCAAAGCGACCCTCTCGCTGCTGTTGTGCCTGGAATTGAGCTGTCCAAGAGCGAGACTATGAACATTATTTGACAAGTGCTAAGCAGGCATGGCGTGGGATTGCTTCGGCGGGCATGTGCTGCGAGTTGCTGGAGCGCAGTTCTTGACGCGATTGATGGTGCCTCTTTCCACTCTGATGCTTCTTGGCCGGTGGGCAAGCCGAGCAATTGAGCGCTACGTTCAAGATGCAGCCTTGAACAGCTTCGAGATCCTTGTCAGTCGTGCGTGCTCGGGAGGTGCTCCGGGTGACCAGTGTGTTGCGGTAGACAAGCCTGCGCAAGGCCTGCCAGGCTGTAGCTCCGTCGCAGACGCAGCTGCCGTAGAGGAGTTGAGCAAGAAAGTCGAGACCTTGGCCTTGTCCGTGGAGGCAATGCAAGATCGCCTGCAGTTCATCGTCGCCAAGAAGGCTCAGTGCGGCTGGCCATAGGAAACTGCGAACTTCCGTCAATGTGCAAATGTTGAGGGCATGGCGCAGCGCAAGAGGTGTTTTGCAGCTGTGGCGGAGTTTCTCGAGAAGACAGAATCCGAGAGCGAGTCAGAGTGGGATGGTGGAAGCTCCTCCACTGAGCCGGAAGAGCTCAACGATGCCATCATCGCTCCGTTGCAAAAGGGCTTCGAGGTAGAGAAGGGCAACGTCCTCAAGGTCGAGCAAGTGGGCCTCCCTATCTTGCGGGCAAAGTTCAGGGTGCTCTGGCGCGAGAGTGCCTTGAAAGAAGGGTTGGCGTCCCTTCTTCCGTCTAGTGCAGTGGTCCCGCCAGATGCTTCAAGCTCTTCGGCAAGTTCATCCAAGAGTTCGAAGGAATTACCTTCTGGCTGGTGGCAGGCAAAGATCGCGCAGTATGAGTCAGCGTTTGTGGCAGGTGCTCCCAGGAAGTTTCCACAGGAAATGCTCCTGGGGGCAGATCGCGCAGGCCCGCTTCTTAAGGCAGCGGCGGAACCCAACCCCCTAAACGCAGCTCGCAAGAAGAGTAGACAGGGCATCACGGTTCTCGCAATCAATGAGGAGAATCAGCTGGAGGCGGAGCCAGAGGCGCCGTGGCGTCCAAAGAGTGTCCTTGCTTTCATCGATTGCTTGGAGTCCATTCGCCATGCCTACTTGTTGCTGATTGGCAATGAGCAGGACATCGCGACCTACATTGATTGGTGGGCCCGACAAGTGCGCAGTTGACCGCAAAAGTTGGAGCAGTTGCGTGTGTGTGTTGGGAGGCCACGTCATGGAGAATTGCGATTGCGCCGCGGACCAAGGTACCGTTTGAGGATGCGCCCGCTGACCTCATGAAGATGAAGGACACGCAAGCGCTCCAGGAAGCCATGGCGCGTGAGCTTCAGACGGACAAGACCGCGCAGAAGCTCACCAAGAACAACAGCGAGAAGGCCTTCGTGAAGACCTTCGAGATGAATGACAAAGGCAAGGGCAACGCGAAGGGCAACGGCAATGGCAAAATTCGCCGCCGCGACGACTACCGCTGGCAGCCTTACAACACCCAGGGCAATTGGCAGGGCTCTTGGGTGAGTCCATGGAAGCAGCACTTTGGTGGCTACAACCAGTACGGCGCCTTCTACCAGCAGCAGCAACAGCAGTTCCAGAAGGACAAGGGACAGCGCGGGCCATCTACGCAAGTGGGTGGACCCGAGTGTCATGGCAAGCAAGATGGCGTCATTTCGAAACCCAGTCCGAAGTGGCTGGCAGAGGAGGCCAAGGCCAAGCGCAGCAGCTTCCAAGCAACCCTCTTTTGCGATCAAGAGGAAGGCGTCGCGAAGCACCTGGCAAGTGTGTTGGCGGCAAGTACGACCTTATCTTGCTCAGTTTCTTTGATGGCGTTGGGTCACAGCGTCGCTGATCTGCGAAAACATCTGCAAAGAGCAGTCGCGGCGCTGGCGTGCTTTGGCTTGGGAAACTGATGACAACCTAGTGAAGCTCACGCTTGCCCGCTTCAAGAATGTGGAGCACCGCGGAGACTTCGACCATGATTGTGTGAGTAAGGTCATTGAGCGCCTAGGTGAATTAGATCCACGTGATGAGTCTAGGATTGTCGTTGAGGCGGCCCCATGCCATGATAGCTCGCGCATTCGTCAAAATCCTCCTGGCGTTGAAGGCAAAGAGGGTTCCAAGGCCATTCGCTTCGCCGAGTTTGTACGAGAGCTGGAGGCTACGTGGCATTATCCGCAAGCCATCCTCATTGTCGAGAATCTGGTGCCGTGCAACAAACAAGATGTTCGCGTGCTCGAGACAAAGTTGTCCGCGTCAGCAGTTGTCGCGGACGCCTCCGATCTGGGCGTCATATCGAGGCCTCGCCTTTCGAGAATTCCGTGGCAGGAACTCTTCAACCCTAAACCCTAAACCCTAAACCCTAAACCGCGTTCCGTGGCAGGACGACTCTTTGTTCGAGGAGATGAGCAGTGGCTTTCCATTGCTTGGCTGCAGTAACCCAGGTCTGGGCTGGCGTCTTCATCGCGATGATAGATACAACAACCCGATTGACAAGGAGACGCTCCTTCAGGACAACTTTCAGTACGTGCAAAAGAAGTTAAATCAGGCCAGGGTGGATCCGTCTTGGCAGACCATGGCTGCAGGGATTGCTGCGGATGTAAAAGCCGGTAGGATGGAAGGTCCTTTAGCGTCGCCGTTGTCATGGAGCAAGGCCACTGTGGCGCTGCCTGCCTATGCGCGCGCAGCTGAGTTGTTGTCGGCGCCGACTTGCCATGAGCACACATGCTTTGCTTTCTCAGTTCAGCAAGTAGGATCTGATGGTCGGCGCAAGGTCCGGCGTTCTGGAGGCAACAAGACTGTGAACGTGCCGGACACACCTGCGTACCACAGCGTCGAGGCCTTCATCGCCGTCGTTCGAGCTCTACGACAACAAGGACCGCGGGGCGCCGTTATGACATGGGGCCTTGATCATGAGGCAGCTTACCTGGAGGACGCAATGACGTTTAA